AGTGATCAGGTGGGGTCTCACCAGAGAGGAGTAGAGGGGGAAATGTCCCTCAGCCATTTTATGTACATCCATATATATATATATATATGTATGTATGTATGTATATGTATATGTATATGTATACATGTATAAAATGAGCACTGGGTCCCCTTCATCCATTCGTTAAAGCCCTTCAGCAGGTAAACCAAACAGGATCTCCCTTTTCAGAAGACATAATGACTTTTTCTCAGCAGACTGGCATTTCAATGAACTCAGTGCTTTCATTCTTCATTATAGATGCCCCCAAAATGTCCCAGAGGAAAAAATTGGTCCTAGTGGTCAGTAGGTCCCAGGACTGATGACCAGCTCATGGCCTTGAACTGCCTTATCAAGCCTTTCTGGTAAATGAGAGCTGCACTGATGACACATCAGTCCCCTGGCACAGTGCCTGATTGCAATGGTGGGTTACGTGCCTTGGCCAGCAGTCTCATGGTTGAGATCCTTTGGGATACTGATATGAGTGCCATCTGTTCTCAATTACTTATTGGACTCTCACTCACCTACTTGGTTTAATACTTCCTGCCCACATCTGTTGAGTGGAGCTGGCTTCTCTGTCCTTTTTACTGCACCAGCCATGAAAATATCCCAGCATTTTTGGTTGGGAAGAGTGAATTCCCTGAGTTTTCCTGCTATGACTTTGTTCCTAAGAGATCTTTTGCCACCCAACTCCCCTGCCAGTTCCCAAGTGGTTATTCATCTTTCAGTAGGTTTAAAAAGCTGACTGTCAACCCAGAACATATTTTCCCAGAAGTTCTTTGCTAATCTTTTCTCTTTAATGCTCCTGATTTCTTCTCCACATTTGGTCTGTCATGATACAGGCTTTCCTGTTCTCCCCATTTTGACAAGTGTTCTGCTTTCCAAATGGAGATCTTTTCCTTATAGTAGTCTTGGTAACTATTTTACTGATAGACATTGGGCTCAATATTTCTTAAAATGCCTATTTCTTTTTGGAATGTAGGCTTGTTGAATTTTCCATTTGATTTCAAAAACAGCCCCCAGATTTCTGTAGGCTTCTTCCTTCTGGGACTACTTCTCTGTCCCACAATGCTGCTGAGCCCAGCTCTACCGTGATGAACAGTACAGAGCTCCCTCCACCAAAACCTGCTTGAACAAGGGCCTGTGCAGCACCAAAGATCAAATGGCATCTTGCAGAGGTACAATGCCAAGGTAGAATGGCCTCTTGTGTTGCAGATTTTTTTGCAGGACTAATTATTCTAGGAATCAGGAAGTTGTTGCATATGGGCATAACATCTCATCCTGCTGCAGCATTGCATCCTTTTGAAGACACCCAAAACCTCCTCCCATTACTACCTGCTTTCATCTTCCCATGCTCTCTTAATGTTTTCTGGCAACTGTCATAATCATGGTAAGGAGTTCAGTAGTGCATTCCTAGTACTATATTTTTATTATTAGAGTCTGCCTACAAGAACCCTGTTGTGCCTCTCTTTAGCCACAATATTTTTACAGTGTTGTGAGATATGTAGTCCCTCCTGCACAGTGCCACTCCTCCACCCAAGCATCCTACATTATCATTACCATAAAGCTGGTAGCGTGGCAACACAGGCTCCTGTTGATTATCCTTCCTCCTGCAGGTCTCTGAGGTTTCCTTTGCACCAGGGTTTTGGTCTCATGCCGAGCCTGATGAGTGCCCTGTCTCATTTTCAGGTTTGAGACCAGTGCAGAATTACAAGTAAGATTTGGTTTTGAAATTCAAGATAGCATGTGCCAGTCCATTGGATTTGTGGGCAGTTGGATCCTGAGCTTAAAATATGACAGGTTTGGGCCATTTATATTAGTTTAATATCTCCTTCAGTTAAACAAATTTCCTCTTACTTTTGCTCTGTCAGCCTCCCTACCTGTCTTGCCCACCCATCCATTTGTTAACAGTGTAAAATTCACTTGAGGCAAGGAATATCTTTCTGCTATCATCTTACCTAAAATTTCATTCAACCCAGCCTAAGATAAAAGGAAAAATAGATATTCATAATAAATATGTATAATTTATAATATAAATGTAATTTGCAATGAAATGTAAATATTTATTTACTAAATCCATGCTAATCAAGCTGTAAATATTTTTTAAAGATTTCACAGAGATGAAGTAAAGATAAAAAACCCACCCAAATGCTACATCTAATCTACTCATCAATTATTTCAGAAAAGGCTCCCTTTTTCTTTCTCAGCTGATCTTCTCTTTCTCATGCCAGGGAGATTGTCAGAGCCTCAGGACATGTGTCAGCTTCTTCCATTTGACAGCTTCCATCACTGAAACTTGTATATGGAAAAAAATCTCCTGTTAGAGAATCTTTATCAGAGGAGTCTTGCAGTACCACTGAAGAGAGAATCCCTCTTCAGTTTTATCCTTCTCTCTCCTTTCATTTCCAGAGGGATGTTACATCTTATTGCAAATCTCCCTTATTTTGAGTGACACAGAAAATTCCTATAGGTCCAGTCTCTCACCCTTAACTCATCCTGTTCATTCCTGACCCAGGAGACTGTCTGGACACTTTTGCTGAAAATGAAGTTTATTGCCTGTCCTTGGATAGGTCGTTCTTTCTGTATATCTAGGAACCATCTCCTAGCCTTTGCTGACTAGTAACAGTTCTTGGATTCAAGGAAGGATAAAGTTCTCCCGTTACCCTCTGTGGCTAGTTGAGGTAGTCCCATGTAAAATGTATCTTTCACTTCAACTTCCTTTCCATACTGATCTGTGTGTCAAGACAGAGTTAACAGGAGTGTCTACATATGAAAATTGCATGGGTCATTACTGAGTGCAGGCACCATGGTGCTTTAAGAGCTTTCAGTTGACTGGTCTCCAGCTTCTTCCTCTTGGACATCCCATAACAGCCTGAAATTTGTGTTTGAATAACTTGGAGAGGAGTTTGAGAACTGATTTTCTTGCTAGGGTCAAGGATACTGAATTTTCTCAATTGCACATGCATTATTCTACTTTTAGTCTCAGTCTAGCTGGAAAGAGAATTGAGGAGCATTTGTGCAGTTAGAGGACAAAATAGCTTCAAAGGTAGTTGTTAGCTAAATACCCTCCTATGAGGAGCCTGAGCAAAGTGCCTCAGCCCTTGTGCTTGCAGTGGTCTCCCCGGGGTGCAGGGACTCATCATCTGACCCATTTTCATCAACTGCATCCTCACTGCTCCAATCCCATCTTCATCAGATAGCACTGGACACAAGCCATCACTCGTAGTGCTGAGCAGGGCTTGGAATTTGTCCACAGTCCAAGTTCTTCAACCTCATTTGACTCCTCCACCTCACAGCTTTCACAGACAACAAGAAAGCTTCAATGGGTGGCAGATCCCTTCACTAACATTTTCTTGTGTTCTGGGGTTTCTAAAGGCAAGGATACTTGGATCACAGGGAAACAGAGTCAGAAGGGCTCTTCCCTTTGCCGTACCTCAAGCTGTAATGTTTCCCTGCAAAATAGGGGGATCATAATCAATCTGGAGAAAAGCTGGTCTTTGATCCCACACATGTATATCACAGAAAATATGTATCATAGAAAACATGTATATCAGACAGTTGTTCCAAAAAAAAACCCAAAACAATTAAAAGTCCTTTGATTGCAAAAGATTTGCCTTTAAGAAGAACATCTTTTCCGTCTCCTCTGTGAAGAAAAAGGATCTCAGACAAGGAGGAGATTAACTTTAGGAGCATGTGTTTAGTCAGTCCAGGGCTTATATCCATGAAATGCTCCTTGGGAGCCTAGCCTGGGGTTGCGCTTCCCATGCTTCCCGTCTCAGTGGGGCCAGATAAAAAGAGGTTCAGAATAAGAGATAGGATGCAATTGTGTACCATGGGCACATTATCGCTGTCACTGGGGAAAAATTAAAAGTTTCTTTTCCATGTGCCTGGAAATGCCATGTAGTTGTGGTTTTCAGACATAAAATTTCCATGCCCCATTTTTAGAGTATATTGGCAGATACAAAGAGGGAATTGCTCCCACTGTCAAACAAGAAACAATACTGACACCTTCCTTTGAAAATACTACTAGCTGAAGGACAGCTGAGATGAGAAATCAAGAGTTCAGAAAAGAAACAGACACAAATGAGGAAAAAGTATTATTTAGAGTGTTTTAGTGGTGAGTGGTTTTGATTTGATTGAATTATAGCCTCACTGGAGGAAAAACGCCTCTTTCTGTGAGCACAGCCCATTTTCTCAGAGGCCATTTTCATTAGGGCTGCAAATGTGGGCTGCCCTGGAAGCTGCAGTGTTTGTGGATAACTGCCTGGTGCAGAACAGCTGAGCACAAAAGAGGTTAAGAAAGTGTAAATATGAAGCAAAGGCCCCACAAAAAGAGACCTAGAAAGCCACCAGAAGCTAACAAGAAAGAAGAAATACAGTGCAAGGAGGAGGGACTTTAAAAAAGAGCTGTGTTTGCAGAGTGTTTGCACAGTGTTTAAGGTCAAAATGCCCTTAATTTTTACATGTATCAAAATCCTCTGGTATTGCTCTGGAAATACTGCCAAAAACATACCAGAAAAATTTCCCTGTCTCCAAAAGACAAATTCAGTTCTTTTGGCTTTCCATCCAAATTTGAAATGCAGGCCTAGCAGTGGGCAGTGATTTCTTTTCTGATCAGGTTTTGATGTTTCCATGGTGGGTGACTGGGGACTCAAAACTTCCCTGCCACAAAATGGCTGACAGCAAGTTGGCTTGTTTTGCACAGACTTGTCATTAAAACACACACATAGCACCTCTAAAAGGCAGCACTTTCACAGGCTGAGACAACAACCAGCTGCTGTAACACTGAAACTCATTAGAACTTACTTGGGGCTTTGTGTCTTGAGATGTGTATTCACTGGGACATCACAAGTAATTATTCATTAATGAACCCTTACTTCCTACTGTTGTCTGCATCTTGCAATTTCTGCCCTCTGTGAAATAGTCCCAAATAGCCAAACTCCCTGCCCAGCACTCACACCACTTCTTTCCACTTTGGCAGAAAAATGGAGACGCTGGCTCAGACTATGAATATTTCCAAGGTGGCACCGGATGGCAGCTTCACTAACAGCTCCTCCAACTGTACTATTGACAGCTTCAAACTAGTAATTTATCCCATCACATATCTCTTTACCTTCTTCCTGGGTGCTGTTGGAAACAGCCTCTCCGTTTATGTTTTCTTCCAGACTTCACAAAGGACCTCAGTAAACATTTACATGATGAACTTGGCTATTTCAGACCTCATGTTTGTGATCACTTTGCCCTTTCGGGTCTCATATTTCCTCTTGGGATCACGTTGGGTATTTGGTGATATCCTCTGCAGGATCATGACTTACAGCTTGTACATGAATATGTACTGCAGCATTTACTTCCTCACCGTGCTCAGCGTGGTTCGTTTCGTAGCCATCGTCCACCCGTTCAAACACAGAAAAGTGACCAACACGAAGTATGCCAGGATAACCTGTGTGGCCATATGGATCTTTGTGCTGGCAGCTGCCAGCCCTCTATTAAACAAGGGAGTCGCTGGCTACAGCAACCCAGTCAAATGCTTGGACCTCCACCCGTCCAGCACGCACAGCCTCCTCATGATGAACAGCTTTGTCCTCGTCGTGGGCTTCGTTCTGCCGTTCTGCACAATTGTGTTCTGCTATGTCTTTGCCATCAGGACGCTGCTTAAGTCCAGGGCTCCGCCGAGCAAGAGGGCAATCTGTCACAGGAAGGCGCTGTTAACCATTGTCATCACTCTCATCCTCTCCCTCATCTGTTTCCTGCCGTATCACATCCTGCGAACTGTCCACCTGATGTCCAGCAGCTGCAGCCAGGCCAGCCTGCACAAGGCGCTGGTGGTCACTCTCTGCCTCGCTGCCATGAACAGCTGCCTCGATCCCTTCCTCTATTACTTTACTGCTGAAAATTTCAAAGCAAAAATCAGAAGTTTGTGCTGCAGGTAGTTGGTGCAGAATTGCAAACCTATATATATATATATTGGGCTCATACAATTCCATGACAGAGGCTGTGTGCTGTGCTGCTGGCCAGCTCTGCTGCTCACTGTCAGGCATCTCTGGGACAGAATCTCTGGGAGAGACCTCTTTGTGGGTGACCAAAACTGAGCCAGGGTGATCAGAGGTCAGGTGGCTGGGTATGATCCCTGGCTGTCTTCTGTTTAGCCGTGTAGAGACACCTCTGTTGTTCACCCTCTCCAGGACAGGGCACTGTAAGGAGTTACTACCTTGCTGCTGGAGTCCCTTGATTTCATTTCACAATACTGAGTGACTTGAAAGGGAAACTGCACACCTGACCACTTCAGTGTCTGTGCCTGAACCTCTCAGCACTCCATCTCCCCACGTGTGCAGGAGTTCAGACACTGTGATTCCCTACACAGTCACAGGTCCCCTGCCAGGTCCCCTTGCAAACACTGGCAAAGAGGTTACACATTAAAGAAATGTAAAGCATCACTGATGATTTCAACAGAAGCTGACTTAAAAAGCAGGAAGAGAAGCAAACAGGACCCAGCACTGGCTCAGGCTGCTCAGAAATCATTAACATTTCTATATTTTCCACTCCAGGCCAGCCACCAAGGTATTCTGCTTAACATTTCATGGGCTGTCAAGTGAGAGAATGACTTCAAGCAAGTGGCATCCTCACAGAGTGTTGTGAGTAAGGTGACTGCTGGCAGTGAGGGCAGGATGCGGGCACCCAGAGCACTGGGCTGCATCCTGCAGCTCTTCATGTGGTGTCAACTCCTTCAAGGTCACTGCAACACTTTGTTTTTATGCCCACTGTTGCCAGTGCTTTTCACAAAGCTGAGGCTAAGCAGTTACATTCCCATGCAGGGATCCAAAGACAAACTTTAAAAATTATTTTAGTCTGAAAAGGTAGCTAGGGAGCGGTTTCCTCTGCACAGGTAAATCAGTCTGACACCAAACTGCTACCAAAGGCATTCCCAATCCCTCATCTTCAGTCTCCTCTGAGAAGGAAACAGATCCTTTTTTTCATAGAATTAACTTCCTGTTGGTTTAATTTTCCTACATCAAACATGAAAGAATGCAACAGGGAAGCACTTACCCAGATACAGGAGGAAAGATGGGCAACAGAGGCGGTGGAGGAGAGCTTTCATAGAAAGCAATGGGAATCTACTCCTTTGTGTACTTTGGAAAATTTCATCAAATGGCTGTCTGTCTTTGGAAGTCTCTGAATATTTTCTAAAATATGATTTCTAATAATCAGACCTAAGAGAAAACAGGCTCCAAATTCAGTTAGACCATATTTAGATTTTGGGTTTAATTACATCATCTTTTACTAAAAACAGACAAGAAGTTTAGTCATATTTTCCAAGAAAGCAGCTCGGCTTATGTGAAAACTAACAAAAATGCTGAAAGCCATCCCTCACCATGAAATTCAACCAAAGGAAGGTTTCTGCCTGTGAAGATATTTCTCAACGCTCTGAACTTCTTATGGAGAAAAGGACTCCATAAACTGAATGTTATTGCTCCCAAACAAAAATAACAGCAGCAAGGTATTTTTAGCTCTGTCTGAAATATGCAGAAAACAAATCACTGCTGGTCAGGTGGAAAAGTACTTGTCAAATCACTGGGAAAGGCACATTTTTCCTTGGCTATCTAAGGGTTATGTTCAATCTACTTCAGTCACTTGATGCTGCCTTTGATGTAAGCAGAGAGTTTTATCAGAAGTCTTCACTAAAGTTCATGCTCCAAATACTTATTTCAATAATGCACCAGCATACCTGAGAGCAGACCTAATGATGTCACGTGAACTCCTTGATCCCATGCTGTTGATGAAAAAGGGAATATTAGCAGTGGTTTGCAATAGGAGTATGATTGAGATGGTAACCATGCAGATATAGCAGGCACTTAATTGGAAGGAAGGGGCAAACCCTTTTTTTGTGGTTTTCACCTGTCAGGAGTAGACCTAAGCAGCAACAAGTGACACGCTTGAAGCCTCTCATGAGACACTACCCACTTCAAATACTGCAAGAGAATGCAGAAAATTAGCCACAGTCTAATCTCACCAGCATTCTTCTGTCTGTGTCTGTCCAGTGCATCCGATTATCAGATAATTTTGCATTTAGAGGATATATGTATCTCACTTATGAGGTCACTTTTTTTGTATTGACCATGCTACAGCTTTGTTGGCAATTGAATTAACTGTCAGACCTGTGTTTTAATAAACTAGATTTACTTGTGGCTGAAGATATGTTTTTTATTGATCATACAGCTAACAAGGGTTCTCCTCTGAGTGCAGGGGAGAAAGAGTAAGAAACAGATACTGAGTTTCTGTAAGTGGGCCATCATTTTACAAGACTGAAATGTCCTTGGAGGTGTGAGAACATCCTGCTGCCTTATTCACTTTACCGACAAAATAGTGGGGAACAGGAGTCAAAATCTGAGGTGCAGATAAAGTAATACAATTTTTAAATTATTATTTACTTATGAAAGGATTCAAGACCATCCTTATTAGAGGTAGTCTCACAAAGTTTCAGCAACACTTGTATAACATGCCATGTTTGCATTTACTGCCTTTTCTCCATTCACTGCTCTTTCATGTCTGTACTCATGGAGCTGAAAGTTAGGGTTCTTCATTGTGGAAGTATCATAGTAAAAAATTTAGTTAAAAAAAGCATCAACATATCTATTCTAAAAAATAAAGCTCCTGACATTTAAATTTCTAGCAATGCCTCTAGTTCCCTCAAGGGACCACATTCCCCTTAAAAAGTACTTTGATATGTTTCCTCAAATTTCCAGGAGGCAAAGTCTAAGAATAGCTATGTGCATAGAAAGTTAAAGCAACAGTAAACTTGTGAGCTTGAAGGAGACATAAGAAGAGGAAATTAAGTCTTTTAAGTGACTGGAAGAACCCTTAAGCAGCAGCAAATGATCTACCTTCATATGCACATTTTCCTGTCATTCAGGGAACCCCTGGTACTTCTAGAAAAAGTTAATTTTTCAGTTCAAAGCTACGCTGGAGTCATAGAGAAGCAGCATAAGGAAATGCTCCTCTTCACATCAGCTTTTAAGCCCCAATTTGAGACAACGTGTGGCTGTGATTGCCAGATGGAGTGGTGTTGCAGTGAGCAGGGGAGCATCATGTGACTGTGATCCTCCCCCTCTGCTCCGCTCTCCTGAGATCCCACTAAGAGAGCTCTGTCCAGCTCTGGGGCCTCTGACACGAGAAAGACTTGGAGCTGTTGGAGCAGGTCTGGAGAAGGGCCATGAAGATGGTCAGAGGGCTGGAGCACCTCTCCCATGAAGACAGGCTGAGAGAGCTGGGGGTATTTCAGTCTGGAGAAAAAAAGGCTCCAGGAAGATCTTATAGCACCTTCCAGTACCTTGAAGAGGCTACAGAAGAGCTGGAAAGGGACTTTTGACAATGGTGTGATAGGACAAGGGGGAAAGGCTTGAAACTGAAAGAGGGCAGGTTTAGATTAGAGATTAAGAGGAAATTCTTTACTATGAGAGTGGAGAGGCAATGGAACAGGTTGCCCAAAGAAGCTGGTATGGCTCACCCTTGCAAGTGTTCAAGGCCAGGCTGGATGGGGCTTTGAACACACTGGTCTAATAAAATGTATCCCTGAACACAGTAGGGAGATTGAAACTAGATGATCTCTGAGGTCCCAAACCATTCTATCATTCTATGATTTTATTATATTTATTTTAATCAATGCATTATCCCACTAATTTTCATGATATATCCTCTGCCTTCCTCAACACACATCCTGTCACCATAGCTTATATTTTGCTTTGGCTCCTAAGTGTGTAGGGAGAAAGGGGTGAAAATTTTGCTGATCATCATCTCCTTCTGAGGTGCCTATTCCTTTTTGCTACAACAGCATGCTGTGCTGGCAGCAGAGCAGGCATCAGACTTTTTCTCCATCTTGGAGGTGTTGACACTTCTCTTGGTCCTTTGGGATGGGCAAGACAGAAGTGACCTGCTGCTGATAGGAGTGGAAATAAGAACTATCCAAAACAACCAAGTGTAATCACAGTCAAGAGGAGTCAGATGCTGTTTCAACAGTGATACCATCCAAGGGGTAATGTTTTGAATTCCTTGCACTGTATCTGAGGCAGTTTAAATTATGGTCTATTTAAAAGACGGTGTAAATGATGTGCAAGCACAGATTTCCTGAGAGAGTCCAGTATTGTTTGAGGTGGCCAGCACCAAGCACAAGCTGCCAGGCACTGTGACTGTCCCAACCTGCTGTGCAGTCCTGTCCCACTCAAGTGTTGTGCTGTGTATATACAGGAGCCTTCCTGGACATCTGCAAAGAAAAGCAATGTATTTAATTGCATTCAGCTGATGTTATGTAGCTACATCTGTTCATCCACAACAACTAATCTGTCAACAGCTTAAGGAGGCCAAAGATCTTAAGTAACTCTCCTTGTCCCAATTTCCCTTTCTGACTTTCAGAAAAAGTGGCCAGAGTCCCACCACTGCTTCTCTTGATTTTACAGCTGAAAGGATGTTAGGCCCCTAACCAGGGGCCTGGTCAAACAAGCCACATTCCTGTTCACAGGAGCAAAATGTCAGCCTTTACTTCTGAAGCTGAGAAATAAAGCTCTGGACCTGGGTCCACCTCTCATATTGCATCACTCAAAGCTTGAATGCTCAGAGTGGTGGCTGGCAGGTTTGCTTGTCATGTTTGCATTTCCAGATGCTGAGATGCTGAGCATGTCGACTGTTGGATGTTATTATGTCTTCTGAGCAGCCATGGTAGAGGAGACTGGGGATGATTCACTCAGTGTGGAGCTGTTTTTCATTACAAAAATTTTGGCAAAGGAACCCCCGAAGAGGGGATCTTTATTCTCTGCAGATTTTTCTTACATTATCACCAGCTTTCAGTTCTGGAGGCAAGGAGCCTGACTGTCTCTGGCATGCCAGCTCCCTTCTGATGTCCAGCCCAAAAAGCCTTCCATAACAGACAAATACCTTCTTG